ATACGGATGTACCGTGAAATACCGTCATTTACGATATACGACCGTGAAATACCGTAAAATCCGTAAACCGTATAATTACGGAAATTTTTCGATTCATACATTTTTAAAACATTTTATTTTCATAATTTGGGGGAAGTTCATTTTTACCATGTTCATCTTTTTTTGCAGTCAAAAATTTATTTGAATTTTATATCTCTATTTAGTAATTAATAAGTGTAAAATTAAGTACATTTTAAATAAATTATTGACAAATTTTCGTTATAGCACATTGAAGTAGCTGAAAATAAGAATTTTGACCAGTTGATTAAACATCAACGGAAWTTSAATACTTATCATTTACTTTGCTCCAAATTGATGACTATTAAAGTTTAAACCCATACTATAGCATTGTAGCTCAATAATAAAGATTTATAATATCTAGCCATGCTGCCCATGCTATAGGTACTATTATAGGTATACCGTCTACATAAATCTAATTGTTTTACTGGTAACTTACTTATTCTTTAAACAAAATAGTAATGTATTATAAATTGTGGTATAGAATCTCATTAAAAATAACTGAATATGAAGTATAAAATAGTTATTAGTGAATGTTTTAGCGATTGCTGTTTTCTAGTATTAATTACATAGATTATACATATACTATATAAAACAATATTAAAATAACATAATAGATGGATTTTATTTATCATTTTGGAATACCGAATCACTTCGGTTTTTCGGTATACCACTTTAATACCAGTGTTGAAATCAAAAGATACCATGATACTAAAATTATGTTCAATACCGTTAGCTCTCTATTTACATCAACCTGTACCGGAATAATGATCAAACGTATGATAATAAATTATACTTATTATACCTACTAATTATTACTAATTATAAAAGGATGGGGTCGAAGCTACCAAAATCCAATGTAGGCGATAATAGAAGAAATAAATATACTCAAAAAAATTCAAAATCGATTTTTTCAAAAGCCGAAATTAAAAACAGTATTTAATTTTCAAGTTTCCTGGCCATATAACTGTTTGAAAATTTTAAATTTACTATAGCTTGACTGACAATTTAATCGGTTTAATGATCTAAAATGTATTATTTTTCTAAATATTATAATGTGTATACAAAACTATAAAGTATAAATATATGTGTGATCTAATTATAAAAGTCTACAGCGATCATAATATATAAAGATCACAACACCCTTCCCGTTTATATTATTTTTTCTAAAAAAGCCCTACTTTTATATAACATCTACATTCTACATGTGTATAAATATTTTATTAAAATCTCCCCCAGTTTACTCGAGTAGGTAGTATTATAAGTCCTTGACGGAATGTCTATACTCTATCTAATATTATATTGTATGATGTCGACATGTTGTAGTGTTGTACACGTCTTGTACTACTATACTTATTACTATTAGCTTACTATGTTAGTATGTTTGTAGCTATAAAAACAAAATCAAGAAAAAGTGTAACTGTTGATGATTTATATAGTTATGTATGTACCTTAGACCTTTTATTGCCAAAAATAATATTTTATCAGACCCCTATCACACTCATTGATTTTCGTTTCCGTATAATATTGCATAGGTATGTATGTATTGCAATCGCATTGAGACTGTTTATTATTAGGGATGCTATAAATTTCCGGTTATAAAATGTATAGATACAGCTGGTGCCTAACGAACATTCGTTTGTTAACATTTGCTAATATTATTCTCAGTTACCAACATTGGAAACATTTTAATCATTTCATAATAATTGAATTATAGATAGTTATTACTGATCGATAATTAATATGATAATTTATTGATAACATTCATACAGTGTTGTTAAGGAACGAATTAATGAATTAATTCCATATTTTAAGGAATARGGACGTAAATATTATAATTCTTTTATTCTTCGCATTATATTACATTGAAATGTTTTGAGTAGGTAAATGTATAGTACCCATAATATATATTATATATATTATGTACTATTTAAGATATATTTGAAATAATATTTTGTACACATTAATCGACAATTGTACTTAAAATTAAAATATTTAGGATAGTAAAATAATTGTATAAAGTATTAATGTAAACTAAGGTAATTAGAAATCRGATAATTTTTTATAGGAACAAGGAAATGAACGATTTCCTTTTAATATTAAATGAATGACAAACTGAATGAACTCCAATTTATAATAGAGGAACGAGGAATCGGGCGGATTCCTATATAATAGGAATTTTAACAACACTGCATTCATAGCCCATGTAGGTATATTATATAAACTGGACACTATCTAATCAGTAACATTGATTTTAGTTAAAAATCCGTATTTTGCACTTTTGCAGTGCTCACGATGAAAATAATAAAAACTGTTTCAACATAATAATGTAAGTATACGAATGGTACCATGGTTCTAACCACTGACGAATCCCAATTCGCTAACAAATTAATATTTCGGTTTTAAAATATTTAAAAAAAATTCTCATTTCACCGATAGTCTATAGTTTGCCGACACCTCGGTTCTCTGACAAATTTTACCGGTTTCTTATAGTTTCAATTTCCCAGATTCGTCGACAGGATAATGATATTAATTTTGTTGAAACTGCAGATATTACATAAATTACACGACTAAACATTGTATATATTATTATCATTCATAATTATTAGTACCATACCTAATATAGAATTTTCTAATCAATGATAATGTTAAGTGAGTTATGTATAATTTACTGCATATTGAAGTATAATAGCTGCTATAATAAATATACAAATGCCAAATCTATACACGTTTAATAATACATCAGAATTATGAAAAACGTTTAACTAAATATGAAATTAATTATATATTATAATTTATAAGTAATTCAAATCGCTTCATAAACAGAGTGTATTGTATAATATAATATATAATGAACCTATGTTTGTATTGTATAATTTCCGTACCCAACAGGGACTAAAACACTCGGCTGATCCTTTTGTTTTATACATAGTTATATTATTAAACATTTATACATACGTCTATACACGTTATTTAAGTATTAGTAAAGCTCCTAATTGTACTTGTTGCCCATATATATAATACATATTACATATACACGAACTTTAACGTTTGCACACGGATCATTAATATTGCCGCGGGGTAATTTAAAATAAGATCAAATTATAGATCACACCATAAYATATCTAATAGATATTATCTATGATATGTATGATATATTATTATGTATTACACAAGACACGACAAATCAATTGATTGTCGGTTTTTAAAACCCTACAAGTGTATACTTCACAATAAACATGTATGAATAAGTCGTATTATTAATAATTGGATTTAGATATCTATAACAAAAATTCTCATAGTTTAGCAGGGATAAAATTAAGGGGATTGAGGATATAAATCCCACAGAGCCTTTATAATATATAATACTGATGGAAAAGTAATTACTATTCATCATTCGATCGTTTATTTGGAAAAAGAAACAATGATAGAATTTTAATAWAATAAGTTTTAACATACTGCACGCGCCGAAATTGACGGGTGGTGACAGATAGACTAATTAATAACTACGGTTATTAAAATTACTAGATAAAATACTGTTTCCGTGGTCGTTGCATAGATTGACGCACGCCGACAACGTAAAAAAATATAATAATAATAAAAATCACCTGTAACCTATATAATATGTAGGTATATTTAGTTATTATTTTTGTAACTTGTGAAGTTATGTACTGATATCAAGACAAAATAAATTTAAATATTTTAAATAGAATTCATTGATATATCTAATGGATAATGAAAATCTTTAAATTGAAAATAAGAAAATACCTTCTATAGGACTAATAATTCCTAATTACGCCACTGTAAGTCTAGCAATGCATATGCATATTTAGTGCGTATTATATAATCATAGTATCCATAAATAAAGAGGCATGTAATCGTATCTACAGAATATTTTGGTACAATAAATAAATATGCTGGAATACAATGTGTACTAGAAATGATCACCAGAAGTAAAAGTAGGTCGTTGGCGTTATTTGGGGGTGTATGAAAAAGGTGTGATTTTCTCCCGTTTAATAGTTAAAAAGGTTTACAGTATCAATTCCTTTGGATTGGTTGGTCCAATTGCGTCTCATATACTTGACCATAATACATTGACAAATATGTTATACGTAGGTATACCTCTATATYTAATAATATATATATATTTAATAATTTTTGATATTGCCGTCCGTATTAAAATAAATAAATAAATACTAATCTGTAACTTTCTGTTGACAGATGTTATATTTTTACATTATGGTTTGTACTTTAATTTTTATAAATATGATATCTTAAAATACGGTGAATATGGATTACGGGCGAGAAATATCTACCAAATAACGACCAGTCGTTCTGCCGCCTTACCGTTTTAAGAAACAACATGCCGGTGGACGGGGATTACCTGTATACAAACAGGTAAAAAGCAAAAGGCCATGACAGAAACGAACATTTATTAGGTATTTTTAAAAATGCTTGTAAACAATGTAAACATTGTTCATCAGATTTGTAAGACGTGAACTAACGTCATTGCGATCTGATGAACTTGCAATATAAAATATATAGATAATGCATAATAATTAGGTAGTATGAAACTATCAAAAAAAATTAACTCTATACATTTACATCAAACCATTTGAATTCTGAAGTTTAATAACAATCATAATGTTTAAAGAAATAAAGAGTATMTAAGAGGACGCTACATTCGCATGTGACATCTCTGCCCTGACTGCCCTGCACATGCATAACAGCTTATACATCTACGTAACGGATTCTTACTGTACAACAAAGTTTATTTATAATAGGTAATTATAATAGATAAAATATTATAAAATTTGTAAAAAAAGAATATAAACGTTGTCGAAGTGAGATTTTTGTCATATTTAATAAGTCATYAATAACGGTATAAACACTATAAACGGTTACTAAAGTATAGAACTGTACTTATTTGCAATTAATTTGGAAACAAAAATACAGGAACAACTATCCGGGTACACTGGGTACCTACAGTTTAAATTACTTCTACAAATTGGATAATATGAAAAMTTATTATGATGAATTAATTGTTCTAAATGAATAGTAGAAAGAATCTGGTAAGTATAGTCGACATAATCATGATATGCTTGTGCTATACAGACATAAGTATACAGCACATAATATGCGATATTATAGGTTCATTTTATAATATCGTATAAACTACCATAATTAATTGGTGAAAAATRTTATCACTTTATAACATTAATGTTGTACTATTTGTATGGCGTGTGCCGTGTAATATAGATACAGATAATTTTAGAGATAATATAGGCGGTAAATGCCAAATGGGTATATTAACATATGTCACGCAGACCTACTAAAACCACAACTATACCCACTAGGCACAGTTACCTACTTACTTACTGTACATTGAATTGAATGTAAATGAAGCTAAAATTGTTTATAATTAATCAGTAGCCAGTTCATCGTGTACCTACTCATTTGCACCTAATATTAATACGTATTTATAATAAGCTAGTGTAGGTTGTACACTGTGACCATCAAGACCCACGAGTTCAAATATTACGTCCACTTTATTCCGTCGCCAATCGTCGGGAAGGCATATTCATCCACGCATTCATTTAAAATKTATCCATTTAAATTAATATCGAAATATTACTGGGCCTCACTCCATATCATATTAACAACACGACAACTAATTAACTGCTTTTGTAAATATTAATAAAATGTAAAAAATATATCAACAATATCGCTCACGACACAYTATAACAACGTTACTCAGTTGTTGAGTCTAATAAATACAGTTATACCGAATATGTTAATATGTAGTATATACCTAATATATTTTATATTGTAGGTATAATCGATAATATATTATATCGTTATATAGGTAATGTGCATAACAATAATATACGCATAAATACTCACAGTTGGAAATTCTGGGAAACCCGTCCATGTCCCTGACGACGTGTCGGTGCAATATGTCCAGCATCATTTGACCGGGCAGGGTTTGTGTCGCAGTCAGAACGGACTGCAGCCGGTGCAGTGTGTGTATTTTTACAAGAACGTACTTGGAGGTGGCACGTCTTTACGTTATTTCACGGCACCTATATAGCTATACTACGGTGTATATATGTATATGTATATATATACACACACAACACACACAATTTATATTAATCATACAACAATCTGTGCGACGGATACGTATATATATATATATCGCGTTCGGTCGTCTGCGCGGGCGGCTGTCTTGCACCACGACGGCGTGTGACTTTCAGTACGAAACGACAATATTATTATTATTATTATTATTATTATTATTGCACAGAACTACAACGGTTGTCCCGTGGTCGTCAATCGTCACCGTCGACGCCGTCGCTGCACCGCTACAACACCACGACTGCTCAAGTCGCGTGGGACGGCCACGGCGGCGGCGTCGATGGCGTTGTCGCCCCGAGCGCCGGCACGCCCACCGGACGCTTCCGTTGGCGCCCGGCACGGCCCATCGATCGACCGGCCGTCCAATGGGAGGGGGTGCTCTTCTACCCGGTCTCCCTCATCCCTCCCCCCCCGGGACCACCCTCTCCTCGGCGGCCGAAACGCAACACCCGCACCGGCACCGCGGGTCGCGAAGCGTTTTCATTTCCTGCGGCGACGGCGTGTGGTGCGACGTCGTCTCGCGGACGGGGACACGGATCGCGCGCGCACATATAATAATAATATATATATAGAGGTACCTCATCTTTTACCAGCGGAAATGTCGTCGCACTCGCCCGCCGCGACCACCCGTTTTATCGACGTTTAAGTCGCGCAAAGTCGGCGGATACAACGCACGATGTACATATACACGCATGATGTAGGTATATATAGGTATTATAATACCACCGAAGACGTCCYCTCTGCAACCACACCATAATGATATGTTATACAGATGTCATAATAATAATAATATATGTTTAAGGTGCTGCCTGCATGTCTGCGCATATATTATTTCAATGATGTATATACAAGTTTTCGCTCCACTTCATTATATTAAACATTATATATATATATATACATATATACATTATATTTTAAGTCAAAATATAACATGTACAATTTATATCAGTCATATATACATAATAATTTARTACATACACCTAATATGAAATAAGAAAGATATGACATCATGATGGGTAAACACAAAAAGAGAAACGTGAGTAAAGAAGCCCGCAATGATATAATATGACACTATTGACCCTTTATTGTTGATTTTTAAAAGATATAAAAAATAATTTATCTATTTACACGTTTACATGTTAAAAAAAGCAGGTAAGTTGTGAATGTCGCGCTGCTGTAGGTACCTACTTTAGGTTACTGTAACGGATATAATTAAATTTGAATCCAATGATATTATATCATTGTATAGGAAAAACGATTCTGAGCGGAGACAGTTTCTAACATACCTAATCTTGGATTTAAATAGAAAAAGATATAATAATTTCTATCTAAGATAATTTGAACATTGTCGTAATTTTTACGTATTTAGTCAAAATTTGAACTTTAAATGCTTGTAAAAATAATCATGCCTATTTATTTTTAATATTTTCAACTGCTATTGTAACAATGTGTAAAAAGCCTTGTATTATTAAATTTTCAAGCTCTTCTACCCAACAAATACATTTTTATCGATATTTATAGAAAAAAAAACTAAAAAAGTTGAAAAATTATAATGTCAGTAAACAGCTCAAAACAAATCAAAATATTTTGAAAATTTTATTAAATATAGAAAATGTCTATATAATCATTCAATGAAAATTTTTCAAGTATTTGGGGTCATTTGTTTTAGAGTTACACGAAAATAAGCAAATCGCTAAATGAGAAATCTAGCGGAAATCCAATATGTTGTAAAAATTTAAATTTTAAATGTGGTCATAAAAATTTAATTTGAATTTCTGGTGGACATTTTTTTTTATGATAAAGATTGATAAACTTGTAAGGAATCTTGTATATTAAATTTAAAATCTTATATTTCAAATGAAAT